TCTACGAATGTGGCCAATCCCCAAAGAAATGCCTGCAATTTGTTTGAAATTCAGTGGAAAAAGTCGCAGGGCAAATAAAATGTGAAATCAGCCAGCAGCAGCAGCAACACCAGCTGCTGCCAAGGTTAAAGGTTGGCCAGTCAAACAGCCAGCCAGGCAGTCAACCAGCCACGCAGTCAAGCAGTCAGTTAGCCAGTGAGTCCCTTGCTTAAAGGAACCAGGCGCTCTGTATCGTATCAATGCGCGCGGTGGCATAAAATGCTGTAGGAAATGATTGCGGAAATTACACTAAATCGCAGTCAGGCGCGTGTGTCGCCCACACGGACACACAGACAAGCCCAGACAGAAGCAGAGACAGCGAGAGGGAGAGAGCGGGAGGGGCATATGTGTATGTTGGATCAGCAGTTGTTGTCGCCACCAGGCAAATGCCAGCGTATGAAGGCCCAAGCGGCGTATGCGTAATGCAAATATTTTGTTGTAGGCAGCGCTAAGATGTTTTTTTTGTTTTTTTTTTTTTTTTTGATATTCTTACCAACAGGGCATTGTAAATTTTTTATGACACATATAAAGCCAAAAAAAGAGTGCCATATGACAAGTAAGTAAAAAATGAATATATAAATTTATATAAGAATGTATACCAGCTGAACTAAGAGCGTCTGGAAGTTTGAAAAAATTCTATAAATATATTTTATAATAAAATTAATTCAATGATTGAAAAACATAATTGACATTTTGTTGCAATAAAAATAAAAATATATTAATAAATATAAAATATAAAAATTTTAATTTTTATGCATTTATATAAAAAAAGTAATTTTATTTAAAATTGCACAAAAATTTCAAAATTTTTTTTTAAAAATGCATTAATTTTATAGCGTCAAAATATATTATTTTAGATGAATGTTTTTAAAAAGAATTAAATTGTTATATACCATTAAATAAGTTAATATACATATAAATGAATAAATATGAAAATGAAAAGAGTAAAGAGAAAAAAATATATGATGAAAAAATAAAACTTTATTTTTGAGAAACAATTAATAACAATGAAGATGAATAAATAAAAAAATAAAAAATATTTAAATACATATAAATATAAACTTTGATATATAAATAATTTAGTTTTATTTAATAAGCAATTTATTATAACAAAAAGATAACATATAAATAATTTTATAAATAAGTACGAATTTCACTAAATAAATATATGAACAATTGAAATTTATTTATTATTTTAGTTTTCTTCTATGTAACAATTTTATCTGCAGTGCCAGATAGCCATTTTTAACAGAGTATTTCTGGTACGTTCTGCTTTGTTTGTTTAAAATATATATATTTAATTTTTTTTACTTCGTTGCTGTCACAATTTAAGTAAATAAACGGAGCAGTAAATATAACATGTTGCTTCTGTGGTGGTGTTTGCTGTCAAGTGGTTTTTTTGCCTTGGCAATCTGAAAGTTTAATAAGACTTTCACATTAATTCGTGGCACGTGGCACGTGGCAGCACCCAGAAGAGTTGCAAAAGTCAAACATGCCACAAGAAAATAACCAAGAAATTTGACAAAAATAAGAAAATAAAAATAAAGCCCAAAAGGGCAATTTGATACAAAACACCCACTACACACACCATTTAAATGGCTTGAGTTTTGTGGCTGCTGCTGCTGCTGAGCGGTCTCTGATGCCGACTAATTCATGTTGGTCGCGTGCATGTTAACCAGGTTAAATGGCAACGTGGGCGTCGGACATGCGGCTTTTCGCAGCGCCTGTTGGCCAACGCAAATTGGAGCTGCAAATTCGGGGCCACAATAAACGCGAGCTTAATTAATTAAATGCATTTTCGATCAATATATTAATATTCATAAATTGCTGCTCTTTGTTGCCATTTAAAGAACTCTGTTGCACAAAACAACGAATATAATTGCCAAAATATTTGCGCAATCAGAAAAGTTGTTGTTTTTTGTCTATTTTGTGGCTAAATGCAAATTAATAATGCAAGCTGTTTGTTTAAGTTAGCTAATTTGAAACAAATGCATTTAAATTGTGCTTTTTATTTATTTTTTGTTTGTTTTTGTTTTTGCTGCAATTTGCATTTTCATAATTGCTTTATGCATAAATATTTTTTATTCATATGCAGTTTGTATGTTTATTTAATTAAATGAACTTTAAACAAAAACTTTTGTTTGCAAATATTTAAATATATATTTACACGCGGCATTACATTTTTTATAACTCTATGTATATTTGTTTTGTACTTATTTTATTTCTAAATTAGATCAAGGACAATTGGTAGTAACAAATGCATGGTACATAAAGTTTTTATGTTTCGTTGTTAAGGCTTGCCAAGGTAAACTTCACTTTTGTAACTTCACTAAGACTTTGGCTTATTATTGATATGTTTTTTTATATCAGGATTGAAGTCAGCATAGCCACCTTCCTTTCTTATTTTTATACTTTTACAAATATGTGCTTTTCCATAATCACAATTAACAGTGACTTGTCTGCGTTCACTGACAATTATAACGACTCTCATTCAGAAACAGCTCTCTGTGTCTCTCTCTCACGGAGCGACGCTCAGAACTGAGTAGCATGCAGCCAAGGTGCAAACTCACTCGGATAATAAGTGCATAACAACTCTGCCCAAACTCTCAGACTCACATCAGCAAGAGGCTGTCATGAATTGGAAATTTTACAAAACATATTCTGCTGCTAATTTCACAGTAGCACGTCATATTATACTAAAATATGACAGACTTATGCTTTGTTATATATTATTTTATAGAGCTACCTTAAACACTAAAGGGAGTTGTTGATTGAGTACAAAGCATTTCGATGCTTTTCCAGCTGGAGACTTAAAGCTTGAAGCATATATTATACCACTACTATATCAATACTCGTTGACTGACTCAGTTAATAAATCGTTAGGCTAAATAATATATTTTACTATATACTATATCTTTACTATATATCTTGTCAACTACTTTTTACTCTATTTTTTCACACGGATGTGCATTTATTTGGGACTAGAAATTTTATTTAGGCAAGCATTGATTAACATCATTTAGTACATATATCTGCACCTATTTTGGAAGCAAAGCCTCAAGACAGAAATCGCCAAGCTTAACATGTGAACTGCTCCACGGAGAGCCATAAATTGTGTAGAGCGCCCATCGCAGGGTCGTGTCTAATCCAAATATATTGATTTTTTCATAAGTTCAACGGCTACTGCTCAGCTGCAACATTTTTACTTCTTTTAAAAATTAGATCAAAGTCATATCACTGCAGTTAATTGTCTACTACCGAAAACTCTGATAATTCGCAGCTAAAAGTGGTTTAGAGCTAAAAACTGATTTGAAAATTTATGAAATTCAGCGAAAATTCGCTTAAGCCAATAAATTTAATTAGTTTAAGTAACGCGCGGTGGCTTGGAGCTGTAACCAAAGCAGCTGCCAAAGCCACACGCAGTGCAAACCGAAAAACTTTCGCCAAATTAGTTCAAAGTTCAAATTTAGGCCAACACCAGCAGCAACAACGGGATTATACACAAAAAGAAACAAACAGGAACGAGTCAATTATTAAAAATAATTACTTTAGCCAAGTTGCAAGCATTTGTATTGCTGTATGAGCTGCCACACCCACCTAACCAAAGTTGTGAGGCAAAAAGCATTTGTTATTTATAAAAGATTAAGCCGCAAAGGAAAGAAAAAAATGTAAGGAAACGCGGAAATTATAATAATATTTACCTAAATATGCCTACAGTCACTCTGACTCGCTCTATCTATCTCTCTCTCTCTCTCTCTTTCTCTCTCGCTGTGTGTGGCTTATTTATGGCCACGTCCCTAATTGAATTGCAGTTTATTTGTCGGGGGCTACTTACACAAAAGCATCCAGCGCAATGGCCACAATTTTTTAATTAACTTTCGGTGGTGTGGCAAAGGTCAGCTCTGTTGGTGGTTCGATGGTGCCGCGACGGTGCTGGCAACATGATTTAAGCGAAACAATTATCAGTTTAAATGGCTTATTGAAATGCGCAAAACATTTCACCTGAAGCACATTTAAAACTGCAAAAAAAAAGCAACTGGCTAACAGCCAGCGTCAAGCTTTAATTTTATTATTTTTCCAACGTAACAAGATTAAAAAGTTTTCCACGACAGCCGCTGCCAGTATTTTCCTTTTCTGCTGGCAGTATGGACGGGCGTAAAGCTCGCTGCCAGCCAAAGTGTTTGGCGATAGTTGCTGAGCTGCTGCATTAAAAACTTGTTGCTTAATGAAAATGAAAATGAAAATGGAAATGGCAATGGCAAAGGCAAAGGCAGTGGCAAACGACTCGCAGCCCATTTGACCGCACAAAACGAACCGCAGCAGGAACTCAAAGGCAAAAATCCAATACAAATTAAATAAAAGCTAAACCTAAAATCACAGCAAAGCACAAAAGTCACACGAACAACTGCAGCAACAGTTTTCTATGACAAACAACTAACACTCTTTGCGCACAATTGACAGTGAAGTTTTTAGATCTGGCTAAGCTAAAAAAAAAAAATAGAGCCAGAAGAAACACTTATGGTATTTTTTTTGCCTTAGAATTGCTAATATATTCAAGATAGGATTCTTGGATATTTATCTTTAAGTCTAATCTGGCTTTAAAATTTATCTTCAAGTCTAATCTGGCATTGCGACCATTATCAACGATCGAGTATACCATACCAATGGAGCTAAGATATTGTTATAATTTATATAGTTAATAATAAACTTAAGTAACAGTTATCAACATTTTGGCCAAATGGCTTAACTTATCTGAAGCAGAGTTCTTGAGAGTGAAACTCAAATATTTTTTAGACTTGAAGCTAGCTTAATTTTATTTATATATGAAATATGTGAAGTGCACAGATATATACATATATTTACTTATGTATATAATATAATATTTCTGCTCAGAAGATTTGAAGACAATGTAAAATACGTGAGGCATACAGATAGCCTTACGTATTTTACATTGTCTTCAAATCATCTGAGCAGAAATATTTCGTTCAATAAAATGTCCATACTTAATCGCAGCATCCGATGCCGTCTACTGGCCCTAGACTTAGCGTGTGTGTTTTTGACAGAAATGATGATGAGCCGGCGGTATCAGGCTATAATCACCATTTGTGGTAACCGAGGGCTTAATGCCTTGCATGTAGTTCATCGGATAGCACCATTTCTTCTGCTCCGCCTCTCTCTTGCGAGTGTCGATGACTGCAGTGTGTATGCCCCTTAGACGCTTCATGACGGCATATTTCTTAAACTCCTCTTCGCCGTATTTGGCTATACTCTCTTTGTAGATGTCGTTGAAGCGCGAATACTGCTGCGTCTGTGCTTCTGGATACCAGCTATAGTTCTCCTTCCAGTGCTTTCGAAAATTTATAATCTGCTGCGCGATGTGACGATGATGCATTAGCTGTTCGGCGGTAATGATTCCGTGAGCCATTCTGTAAACGTGGATGAAATTTTGTGGCAAATCAATAGAAATTTATGAAAAGCCAACTTTTACAGCTTTTAAGTAATTTCAGAGCATGTCAAAGCCGTTGTAGATTTGGCCAAACGTTTTGGGCTTTCATGTTTTGTTTTTGGGTTTTCCTTTTCGCTTAGCTTTTCAGTTTTGAATCAAAGTACAGCGCATCAATTGCATGCCAGCAGCCAAATATTGTGACGATAAAAAAACGATATAAAACATATTAAGCAACAAAGCCAACAAAATGCGCTGTGGTCAACCGGACAGAAAAAAACAGAGCGAGCAGACAGACAGAGAGTTGTCCATTGTCGATTGAGCGTTTAAAGCGCAAATGGCGTTTGTTTGTTGTTTGAGGCCAGATGAAATGAAATTCTATAAATTGTGTTTAATTTGTGCTGCCCAAGCCCAAAATAATTCAGCGACAAAACAATTAAAGCTACATGCTGAGCGAAATGCAAATGCAAAGTCAAATCTAAATTCAAATGCGAAATCCAAGTTCAAATGTTGTGCATTCGAACACGAAATGAGCTGCTTCCGCATCGATATGCCAGCTGTGTGTCAGTGTGAGTGTGGGAGACGGGTCGAGGGGTGTGGCAGACAGTTATGGGGAGTGTCACGTTTTGTGTGCCATAAATTTCGCATTATTGCGCGCGTATTCGTGCATAGATGCTCATGCATTTCGGTTAATAAAAACCCCAATGCACAAAGCAAAAAAAGCGAAGAGCGAAATAAAAACAGTATGCAACGACAGCAAACTGAATTACAGCAACAACAAGAACTGCAGCAGCAGCATAGAAAAAAAGAAAAACACACAGAGAGACATTTGATGGGCAACATGGCGTATGCTTAACCACATCCGACTACACACTTCCGCGCATTTGGTGTAACAAAACCGCGCGCTGGTTGTTAACAAATGACTCGATGTGGTCGGCGCCTTTGCCAACGCTGCGGATTGGACCCACAACAACAACAACAGCCACAGCAGCGGCTACAACAAGTTAGACTGTTCCAGTGGGGAGTATGCAACCGACAAATACCCTAAGTCAGCATAAATGCAGAAGCTGCGTGTAGCCTATGAGTATTCAACTTATATTGTTTAGTTAGTGGATTGCAAAAGAATATATCATATATGAAAGCAATGAAGCATCGTTAGACTTAAGTTGCCTTTGTAAAAGTTTGTAAATCTTAATTCGTTTATCTACAGCAGCAGTTGTTGCTAAGGCAACGCTTTTTATTGGTAGTCTTTCAGTGGCTTCTCTGAAGCCTTTCTCAAAGTCATTTGTTATAACAGACATTGCGTTGAGTAATAGACGCTACCAGTTAATAGAACTCTCCCAATTGCTAGCTGTCAGTTTCTGTTAGCTCACAACATCATTCCCTAATATTCAAATTTTTTTCTATAAAATGTATCAGGCTGTCTACAGTACTGGTTGCTCCTCCAATGGCTTCCACTCATATGCCAGTAGCTCTGAGGGTCTTAAAGCTTCATTTCCAGTCCCACTGTGTGCGCTTTCAATTGACTTCCAGTTGCTTTCTATATAATTAATAATAATAATTAATAATAATAACATAATTAATTTGCCTTCCAATTGAGTTCCAATAAGCTTGCATTAGCGCTCATTTATTCTTTGCTCTTGCTCTTCTATTCACTTTCAGCACAGCTCTAACATTATAAATTGTATGCATTCTACATTCACCTAAAGTCGCATTCTGTGCTCTTCCAGCATATCGCAGATCTTGAAGCTCTTTTAATAGATTCCAGTCACATTTCAGTAACTCTCAAAAGCACTCGTTGCTCTTCCTATGGCTTTCAGTCATTTCCCATTTAATTTCAGTATCCAAAACTTATGCATTACATGCTCTTCAACTCCCTCTCTCTGCTCAGTCATAAGCTTCCAGTAGTTGACAGTGTTTGAAGCACTTTCAATGGATTTTAGTGACATTCAGCAGTTCAGAGCTTACAACTTTTGTTCACACTGACGGCAGTTGCCTTTCATATTTTCCAGTAATAGTCAGAAATCTGTCTATATCTTTAATCAAATTAATAATATATATAATTTGTGCCTCATCTGCAATCTACACACTTCTACACAAATCTCCTGCAGTCAGTATACCCTATTTATGTGCGCGCACTTCTGTGGGTTCAGGGTATGACAAGTGTATGGTGCTGTGGACAACGCTCTCTGTCTGATTGCAGATCTGTAATGACTCATTTCACATGAACATTTTCGTGGGCTTGGATGGGCGCTTTGCGTTGGTTTTTAGGGTTTGTGGGCTGGGTTGCGCTCTTGGGCGCTGGCTTTCACATTAAATCACATTCAAATAGCGCTCCGCGTGGCTGCTGCATCAGCACTTGGCATTAGCGACGCATCCAGCTAGCTGGCCAACAGTTTTAAGTTGCAAATTAGAACAGCATGTCGTCGTTGTTTTATACCCTAACCAAAGTGGAGAGTCGAGTGCCCTGTTTGCACTTGTGTTATAATGTTGCCTCCCACACTCCCACCTGCGGCAGCTGCGGTCAGAGTGCAGCCATTAGTCGTCGCCAAAAATGAAATCTATGCTGCCTCTAACTGCGCCCGTGCCCCTGGCCCCACCCGCCGCCGCCGGCTCGACGTGCGCGTTCTTTAATTAGTCGCACAGGCAAACACAGCGCATAGAGTCCAGTCCGGCTGGGTCTCGTTCATTCAACCGCACGAGAAGATTCCGTGGACGCTGGTGTCAAAGGGTTATCACATCGCCTCCCTCTTGCTCGCCCAACAGTAATTGACCTAAGTACGCGCACACCTCAGGCTCTAATGCGCCACGCCTTCAACTCTAACGCCCACACGCAGCTATGCAGTTGATGGCAACATGTTTCGTTTATGCATTGCAGCACTGCAGGCGCATGTTCCCATTAAATGGTCCCTGTTCCTAGTCGTGGGGGCAATAATGTCGCCAACTCCAACTCCATGGCCAGTCATGATAGGCAGTCGACGGATAAGCGACAAGTGCATGTCCTATTAAAAGTCATGTTAACTGGAGACGTACAGATGGAGCATGCGAAGTAAACGCTTTATGAAGAATGAAGAAGGAAAAAGGAAAACGGAAAAACGAAGAGGGAAAAAGGATGATAGAAGAAGGAAAAAGGATGATGGAAGAAGGAAGAAGGAAGCAGGGAGAAGGAAGAAGGTAGAAGGAAGAAGGGGGAAGGAAGAAGGGGGAAGGAAGAAGGAAGAAGGAAGAAGGAAGAAGGAAGAAGGAAGAAGGAAGAAGGAAGAAGGAAGAAGGAAGAAGGAAGATGGAAGATGGAAGATGGAAGATGGAAGATGAAATATAAAAGATGGAAGATGGAAGATGGAAGATGAAATATAAAAGATGGAAGATGGGTGGATGAAGGATGAAGGATGAATATTAAATAAATCAAATTAAATTCTATTACTGCTAAAAATACCCAAAATCTCTGTGAGGCAATATTTCGTTCCACTACAATTTCAACTAGCGCAAAATCGCGTTGACTAATTTGGAATGAGACTCGGCTCGATTCAATTCCTGCCTCAGATTGTTAACTGAATATCGAAAGCTGCATTTGGCTAGCTGCAAAATCATGAGCAATGTTCTTCGATCCTGTGCAATGGAAGTCTGAAAAAAAACTCCGAAAAAGTGGATGCTCGTTGGCAGCCTGAATATTCGGAGCCCGCAGCTAATAGTTTTTAATGTGCGGCAAAATGGAAAAACTTTTGCGCCGACCAAAAGGTCAACTACTACATGTGCCAGATAACCGAAAAATCTGGCAAAGTTTTGCGCCGGGCCCACCCCCAGTTTTCCGGCAAAATGCTGACACGGGCAGCCGCAGTCGCCATCGCAGGCAGCCAATTGCAGCCGCTGGCAGCAACAATTTTGAGTTTATCACACGTGCCAAATTGTGCGACCAGCTCCTGCAGCCAAAAGAAAAAACCTACGTGAGGGTTGCAGCAGCAACCTCACACACAGCGAATGCTGTGTCTATGTGGTTGCATGTGTGTGTGTGTGTGCGTGTGCCATTTGTGATTTATGCAGCGGGTTCAATGCAAAAAGTCAACTGGCCAAGGCATAAAGCGCATAATTTATGTCGATTTTTCTGATGGAAGTTGGAAGTGCAAGCAAATGCGGCTAATTGACCGATATGTGTGGGCATTTTTAAGGCACTTAAATATAAAATAATATCCATAACAATACAAGCAAAAGCGTGTTGGTTATTTAACTGTGAGATACCCGAAAGTAAAATGGGTTGAGAACTCTGTACATGTTTGGTTAAAAGAAACTTATCGTGTATGTCCTCATTCTTGAAGTTTGTTACTGTAGGAAGCAGTTTGGTGGATATAGCTATATATATATATATACATATATTAACATATATCCCTGGAATTAGTGACGCCTTTAACTTTATTCAATCTATGACATTTTATGCAAGTGACAGAGTTAAATCAATCAAATTGTAAGTCAAGTAGACTGTGGAATAGTTTTGAGTTCTGCTCGCTGTTCTTAATCTCTCTATCACTTAAAGGTTCCCAGATTAATGCACCCATGAAAGTACGAAAGTTGAAGAAACAGCTAAGCTAATAGATCTAGATCGATTTGAGTATTGATATTGATTTAGACGATGTTTGCTTTATGGTATCATGCCTCTTTCTGCCTACCTCATATAGACACAGGAAAGGACCAATAGATGAACAGATGTTATCGACTTGGCTATTGACTTTGATCTAGATCATGATTTAATGGTTAACTATGCTTCTTAATAATGTCAATAGTTAAGAGTAAAACCATTTGTAGGCAGAGCTGACCTCTGATTTGCTGTTCATTCAATGAGTTGTTTGAAAGGTAAATTAAAACGAATAATTAATATATTTTATTTATACTTGAAAGATCAGCCACAGTATAACCTTTAAAACGAATAACTTGCAAAATAAAGTCTTTAATTAATTAATATTGTTTTTATATAAAAAGTCAGCTTTTCTATGCTCTATAAAAGTTTTTGCTTCACAGTCAAAACTTTATATTTAAAATAATATTCGATTTATGTTTAAATCTGAATTCGTTATGTTTGATTTATTTAT